CAAGGGCATGTACCTTGGTTGCGGGCACATCCCCAGTAGGGGGTGTGCAGGAGGCAGCTGATCGATGTTTCTCTCTCATCAATGTTTCCAACTCTCTATCCCCCTCCCTTCCTCTCTGTAAAAAATCAATAAAATGTATTTTTAAAAAATGTTCACTTGAGGACTCTAAGAACAAATGAAATGCCAATGGTTAAAAAATTTAAATCAAGGAGAATGTGCTCTGAACAGCATTGCTGCACTTATGTAAAATATTTACACAGGTACATGAGGGCAGGCAGAGATGCAGGAACTCTAGCTTTGGGATGACATCACTCTGGAGTTTTTCTTGTCCAATCCTATATAATAAAAGGCTAATATGCAAATCGACCAAAAGGTGGAACTACCAGTCACTATGACACACAGTGACCACCAGGGGACAGACGCTCAACACAGGAGCCACCCCCTGGTGGTCAGTGCACTCCCTCAAAGGAAGTGCCGCTCAGCCAGAAGCTGAGCTCATGGTTGGTGAGTGCAGCGGTGGTGGCGGGATCCTCTCCTGCCTCAATGGCAGCGCTAAGGATGTCTGACTGACGGCTTTGGCCTGCTCCCCCCACCCCCGGGCCTAAGCCGTCAGTCAGACATCCCCTGAGGGCTCCTGGACTGAAAGAGGGTGCAGGCCAGGCTGAGGGACCCCCACCCAAGTGCACAAATTTCATGCACTGGGCCTCTGTTATCAAATAATTACTCGGAGCCCTGGCTGGTGTTGCTCAAGTGGTTAGAGCATCGGCCAATGCACAGAAGGGTCTCAGGTCTGATTCCTGGTCAAGGGCACGTATCTGGGTTGCAGGTTCGATTCCCAGCCCTGGTCAGGGTGCGTGCAGGAGGCAATCAATCAATGTGTCTCACATCAATGTGTCTCACATCAATGTTTCTCTCTCTCTCACCCTCCCTCAATCCCTCTATTCTAAAAATCAATGGAAAAAATACCCTTGGGTGAGGATTTAAAAATAATAATTACTCAGATATATATAATTTCCCATTTAAAAAGTGAGGAGGAAGCACCCCACACCTACAATTCGTTGTACTTTCTTTGTATCTTACTTCAAGACAGCCTGGAGAAGGTGGGTGGCACCGCGGAGGCCATCGTCGATGGGGACAGGATGTGCGTACAGTCTGGGCAGTAAAAGCAGGAAGTCCCAGACCTGGGGCTGCTGGTGAAGGCTTTCCAACGCCGCTATCACCTCCTCCGTCTTGTTGAGATCTACCTGATCGAAAAAGATACCAAGGGATTTTCTCTTTGTGTTAATCAAATAAATGATGGGACGTGGGCTGCAGAATGTAAGAAGCCAGAACCTCAGCTGGCAGAGACCGTGCCTGCTACGTCACAGTGTTGTGAACAGATAGCTATACAAATGGCTGTGAGGTCAGCTTTTAAATACTGTGCCGTGTGGACCGGGAAAGAGGGGCCGAGGCAGGCCTTACAATGAACGAGTGTTCCATTGTGCGTAAGGGACACGCGCTGCGACGGGCTTTTCTGTTACAGCAGCTAAACCCAATGGCAGTGACACACCCTGTCCGCAGGGAACACTCCCGCCCCCCAGACATCCTCCCCCGTCCCCACCCCACGAGCAGGGCTTGGTGGCACCACCACTGAATGTTAGCGCAGAGAAACGGAAATAACGATGGCGGCCAGCCCTGGCCGTGTGCTCAGTAGTGAGCCGCGAGGGTCATGGGTTCGAGTCTCGGTCCAGGCCGCGGTCACATGGATGCCTGCCTCCCCCACTCCCGCCTCTTCTCTCTCCAAGCGCCAGTGGGGAAGCATCCAGTGAAGATGAACGACGGCTACAGGAGCGTTTTGCCAACAGCCTCGGTGAGAGCCCACAGCCGGTTCTTCCTCCCGGAGAAGAACGCGGCCGGCGAGGAGCCGGTCCAACCG